AATTTTAGAAAAAGCAAACACTCTCAATATTGTGAGATGTGGTGAAAGCTACAAGTTAGTTAATTCTTCTGAACACAAAGAATCAACTTGCTATTCCTCTACAAAGAGACTTAGGTAATAAAGCATACAGCCACTGAAACAGGAGTGAGAGAAGGTTCAGGCTCCAGCTTCATCACTTCCACGCTGTATTACCTCTAACATCTTGGCATTCAGAAAGGTAAATCAATGTTCACTCAAAAATGGCTAAAACTTCAGTCTACAATTATGCAATATTATGTGATTTTCTTGAAATGGGAATTCAGGACCAGCTGGTGGTATGGTGGTTTAGGGAGGCTGGATCCTACATGGCTTACTGCTGTTTGAGTCTCAGACCAGGTGGCTTGAAAAAAAAACACAGGCACGTGTGTGTATGAACCCAAAATTCTGAGAGAAGAATGAAGGAGAGGAGATTGTGGTATGGCCAGCCCCCTTGGTGGGGTAGGGATGCTTTCTCACTTTCTCTTGTTCTTTCTCTGTTCTGCTCGATGAGTGCACATGACCTACAGTATATTAAAAACAAAACAAAAATGGGAGAGTGGAATTTCAATCATAACACTATCACTCAGGCTGTAGAAACGAATCAGTTAGTGAATGAGTTAGTAATAACAGTATGAACTCAAACTCTTAACAACCCAAATGCGCATTAGCTGAAGGAATTCTTGATACAGTGGGGGGAAATTTAAAAATGCTGTACGTGACCTTCCTACTCCCAGAAGGAAAAATAAGCCCTTAAGGAAGTTTATATTACTTTTTGGTGTTAGGCAGAAACATCTGTTTATTTTAGCTACGTACTTACATTTAGAGGTTTCTGTCTCTCCCATTCCTTACTCTATAATACTTACACCTGAAGCTTTTGATTTATTCATCATTTTTCTTTGCCTTTTTCAAAAAATTTCCCAGGAGATATGTGCTAGACAGAGGGAGTGGGACAGGGAGAAAGAACCCCCCATGGGGAAATGCTACACCACAATCCTTTTCTCTCTCTCCTTTTTTCGAGATATCAGGCATGCATGTCCATGCAACAGGCATGTTTCCCAAGCCACTGGGTCCATATGGAATTCAGCTGCCTCACAGGCCACAGGTTGGCCCTGGACTTACCATTTTTTTCTAACCCTACAGAGTACCATCAAATGGAAACTGAACTGTATGATTTATTCAATGGTAAACATATTTTTCCAAATTTCAATTTACTTTCAATGATTGTGAATATCATTATGAAATATAATATCTATCATAATTATCTACTTTAACAAAAAGTAAATAGGTTTTCTATTGTCATATGTCCATATGGCATGCATGGCCTTACTCTATGAAGGAAATTTTCTTCTTTGGGGTTAAAAAATTTAATCTAATAATTAATTCTGCTTCATGGGAACAGTTCATGAGAGAGAGAGAGAGAGAAAGAATGAGAATCAGCCTTGCTAATTCAAAAGTATGGCAGGGTCCAAATCTAAACCCTAAATCAACTTGACATAGTACAGCTCATTTCCTGTGCAGGTTATAATGGACACCAAACATTCACAGATCAGCTCGGATCCGACCTACAACAGAAACTACATACTTCTAAGTTGGGGTATAGTGCATGCAGCGTAATAAACCTAGGAGCGGGGGGAACTGATAAGATAGAGGAGGTAACACCTTTTCTCTTTATTCAAGCTGTCTTCTATGTTTTAATCTGCCTAGTCTCAGGGCTAGCAGGTGTTGTGAAGGTTAAGGCACTGGACTCCTACATAGCCAACCATGGTTCAAGTTCCAGACCTAGTGGCCTGAAAATCATGCAGGGTGTGTGTTGCGCATGTACTCGAAATTCCAAGAGAAGGGACTGTGGAGTGGCTACCCTCCTGGGAGGTGATTTTTCACTTTCCCTGTCTCTCGTGCATGAGCCCTATGGCAAAAACCTAAAAGTCTGCCTAATCTCTTTTTTTTTTAGAAAACAGGAAGACCTCTTATTTTTTTTTAATTTTAAAACATTTTTTTGGGGAGAGATTTTTGCTAAAGGGCATGTGCACTCACCAGAGAGACAGAGAGAGATAGAGACTGAATCTGCTAAATCACTCCCCAGGGAGGATGGCTACACCGGGATCCTTTCTCCTTTAGTCTCCTCTTGGGATTTTGGGCATGCACACACAGGTCTAGTGTGTTTCTCAAGCTTTTGGGTCCAAGAGTGTAACTGCACAATCTACCACGTGGGGTTGATCCACCTTAAAACACCAGGCCACGCATGGGCTGGCCCATGAGTTTCAAGCAGCCGAGTCTGGGACTTGGAACTGTGGTCGGCCATGTGGAAATCCAGTGACATAACCACTACCATTTGCTGGTCCCAAATGACCTGCTTTTAATGACCTATTTTCCAACTATGTTTTAGAAAACCAAATAACTTATTTTTATTGCTTATTATTTTTGTTTAACCCAAAAATTAATGTCCAGTTGTAACTAGGCAGCTGCTATTTATTTGTGCTCTAGCAACAATGGTTATACTATTTTCTTCCTTGTATGTACTATTAATGACTTTATAATGCAGTCATCCTTCTCACCCAAAATAAGTCTCTCAAAAGAAATCGTGAGTATTCAAGACATGAGTTTCAGCATTATTAGTCGATTCACTCTCCCAAATATCCCATGATGGAGGTCAAAGAAAAAACAAATTATGTTGTAAATTAGTTAAGAAGTTAAAGTTAGAAATTAAGGACTGCTCTGTAAATCTGATAAAAGCTAGGAGAAAAAAGAAATAGATTATAGAGAAGATAATTATTAGAGGGTAAGTAAATATGCAGAAGTCAAGCACTGGGAAAGAGGATAAAATGGAGGTTAGAAGATAAAGTGTAGTATTATAATACAGTTATTTATACATATGAAGATATTTCACCTAATAAAAGTATTTTTCATAGAAACCAAATATTTTCAAAGTACCAGGAAAACAAACTTCAACCAAACGCCCACTTACCAAAAAGAGAAGCAAACCCTCCTTTTAAAGCACTTGCAAATTATATTTTTGCAATACAAATAACCAATTCCTAATTTAACTATTTTTTTTTTGGTCATAAGGACAGAAAGCGAGAAATCACTCCCCCACCCCACCCCCCCACCATGAGGATGGCCATGTTGCAATCCCCTCTCCCTCATTCTCCTCCCACGATTATGAGCACACACCCACATGTGCCTAGCATGAGTTTTAAGCTATTGGATCTGGAACTTGAACTGTGGTCAACCATATGAGAGTTCAGTGACATAACTATTACACCGTTTGCTAGCCCCTGATTTAACTGTTTTATAACTTTAGATTTTAAAACAGATTTTCACAAAATAGGGCACACATGTAAAATATCATCAGTATAAAGAATTTAAAATTAAATTTTTCTATTTTGGGGGGGAGGTGGGAGAGGTTTTCGCAATCCCTTCTCCTCCATTCTCTCAGGATCTTGGGCAAGCACGCACACACATGTGCCCGGCGTGAGTTTAAGCCACCGGATCTGGGACTCGAACCATGGTCAGCTACATCAGAGTTCAGTGACATAGCCATTACACTAACTGCTGGTCCCAAAATTTGCTATTTTATGTGAAAGTAATCTTACATCAATACTCCATGTATATATTTAGTATCTACAAAACCAAGTATATATTTAGTATCCTTTCATTGCCAAGATCTGGTTAGAAAATAAGTGGTAAATCTTTACATGGGACATTAGACATGAGCCCTTGTGAATTCATTGTCAAACAGTTTGGTTGAGTAAGCAGTATATATTATTTAGTTCCATAAGTCTATCTGTTATTGAGAATAAACTGAAGTTGTCTACTATATCTCAAAGAAAAAAAAAAAACAACAATTAATTACAACAGAACATAATAAACTTAAAAAAAAAGAACAAAATAAGTCATTTTGGTATTCACTATTCAAGAAGTCTGGGTTGAAGCTTTCTGAGCAGTGATAGATAAGGCCTAGTGAAGGACACCAATGCAAATTCTATGTATATGTGTGTGTGTATATATATATATATATACACACATCCGCGTAGAATTAAAAAGAATATAAAAATTTTCAATATTTTCTATGCCCTGTCATCAAATGGCAGGGGTCCCCAGCATACTGATGACATTTCAAAACCAAATCAGTGAATCTTGTGATAGTAGCTGTTACTTGAATGGGTTTCTCTGGCCTACCTCACTGCTACCCTAGGGAGAGGACTTCATGGACGCTATCCTCAGTTAGTTTGCTAATTCAATTCAGCTACAACTCAGACTACTAACAAATAAATAAATAACCTGACAAGCAGAAAGCAAATTTAAAAACTGGGTCAAAGTAACTTCACTGGGAGGGGCATTTACTTGATTATTACCACTTCTCTGAAATAGCCTGAATTAAAACTAAGACCTATTAAAAACAACAGACTGATTACAATTTTGGAGTTCACAAGCAAGTGTAAGATTATAAAATATAAAAATTTACTACAATAACACATAGCAACTTTTTTCCTAAATTATATCACTTTACACTATTACTGATTTAAATTTAAATGCCTTTATGTGCATATTTTAATTGGAAAATTTAATCAAGCATTTAACACTTAAAAGTTAAGCCAGAGAAAAGTTTTCTATTTATTTATAACTGCTATTTCAATTTAATATAAAATGGACACAAACAATATGCCTTTTTTATATTACATGCTAAAAATGAAACATTTTCTTATGAAGTAGAACTTCAGAATAATCTAAAGACCTTGGAGTTCTAACTCCACTCTACAGACAAGGTATATCAGTATTTCCTATTTTTAGGTTGTGTACAAGGTTAAGAAGTATTATTTTAATGTACCCCACATAAAATGCAACTTTAATGCACCTTTTGGTATAAAGTTTTTTGTAATTCTCCTTAAATTGTGGGTTCTTAATATAAAAGCCTTATGACACAACTCTCCACAAACTCTGGTGAGAGATTAAACTAAAATCTCAGCATATAATTCACGTACCTTTTTGAGATGTCCTAGTCTAAGTTTGAAAATTTCTTCTTGTTCATGATATTCTGCCAAAGTCAACCTGTCAAAAGTAAAATTTTAATTCTGCATGTTGAGATTAATACTTAGTATTTATTAACAGCTAGCTAAATATGATAAAACTAATCAAATTTGACAATTTGAACTCAAAATATATAAGCCCCAAAATCCTTTAAGATAGTCTTCAGAATACATTTAAAATACACAGACTATTTAATTAGTATTATACATCAAATGATGTTCTAGAATTTATATCCTAAGGACAAATTAAAAACAAGACCATTTCTCCTTAAATTTTCATTTGTGCCTACATTATATAATGGTAAAAAAAAAATTTAATGAAGCAGTAAAATAATTTTAAGTAACAGTTAATGTTATAAACAAAATGGACAGTATGATAATAACTGGACTAATTTGGACTAAGTATTAGCAAGGTGACCTTGACTTAAACATTATAAAGACAACCACAAGAAGATTTGGGGGAGTACATTCCAGACACAGGCTACATGGATGCAGAAACCCTAAGGTAAGAAAAGTCTTGGAGTGTTAAATGATAGTTGGAAGAGTTTGTAACCAGTAGAAGAGAGGCGAGAAGAGGGCCAGATCATGTACAGACTTGCAAACCAAATAAAAAACCTCAATTTGACTCTAAGAATAATGGGAAATCACTGCAAATAAAATTAATCCAGTTTGGGTACTAGCTTTTTTTTTTTTTGGAGAGGTTTTGCTATAGGGCGTGTGCACTTGCCAAAAAGACAGAGAGACAGAAAGCAAGAAATCAGCCCCCGGGAGGATGGTCATGCCGCAATCCCTTCTCCTCCATTCACCTTTCGGGATCTTAGACACGCACGCACATGCGCTCAGCTTGAGTTTAAGCCACTGGGTCTGGGATTCAAACCATGGTCAACTATATGGGAGGACAGCGACATAGCCACTACACCAACTGCTGGTCCCGTTTGGGTACTAGTTTTAAAGAAGAGAAAAGGCAGGCCAGCAGGTAGCATGGTGATTAAGGCACTAGACTCCCACATGGCCGATAACAGTTTGAGTCTCAGACCTGCTGGCTTGCTTTCTCCCTTTCTCTCTTTGTCTTTCTCTGGTCAAGGTTAAAAAAAAAAAGATGATGATGAAGAAAATTTCAAAAAAAACCCCAAAAAACTAAAAGATATTTTCCCCATCTGTTTGAATGTGTTAAGAGTGAACAGAAAAGACAAATAACTGAAAACTGTACAAAGTACCAAATTCTATTGCTTCACATTCTTAAAATAGATATTAAAAACTGAAGATGCTTTATGGATATTTTACTATTGACTTTGAATATTCTTAAATAACTTCAAGAAACAGTTTAAAATAGAGAGAACTATAATAAGACTTACACGTTATAATACTTCCTAAGAAAAAATGATTCTGTATTTTGATAAAGGAAAAAAAAATCATTCCACATCAAAACGATTCCCATTTCACATCACAATTTTAAAAGAACTGCTTTTATCTGTTATATTCAGGTCCTTATTACTCATCTGTTCTGCGGGTATGTGGTTAAGCTCCTAGCTGAGATGTCATGTGTACATGTGTGGTTCAAGTCCTTCAGTAACATTCAGTATAGTTGCTATTTCCCTTTGATTGGATGCTAATTAAAGTCAAAGGAAACAAAGAGAAACCAAAAAAATTCAGTTTGTATTCTACTAGAAACACCTTTAGACCTAAAAAAAAAAAAAACAAAATGATTTAAAAAAAAGTAAATCTCTTGACCCAGTCCGTGGATGGTATAAACACTGGATTTTATGACACTTAATACAGCAATAGTTGACAGCTGTAGCAGTTGCTTAAAGTAAATTTACAGAATTAAATGTTTAAATGTGACGGGGTGAGAAAGGGAAAAGGGGAAAGGTGATACCAAAATATGAGGTTAGGAAACCAACATTGATACAAGCTGAACATCCCTCATCTGAAATAAACTAAAATCAGAAATTGCCTGTTATATTAATTATATTAACTAATTGCCTGTATAACAGTATCATAATTTTTTAATCTTTAAAATATGGTTTTAAGTCCTCTAGCAGACCATAGGATGGACTCAAACTAACTTTTGAGCACTGGAACCAGCAAATGGCATGACTCCCACATAGTCCACTGTGGTTCTGGTTCCTGACCCAGTGGCTTAAACTCACACCTGGCATATGCATGTGCAGACAAAGATCCCAAGAGTGATTAGAGAAGGGATTGTGGTGTGGCCATCCTCCCTGGGGAGTGATTTCTTGCTTTCTGTCTGTCTCTCTGGCAAGCGCACATGCTCTATAGCAAAAATCTCTCTCTAAAAAAGAAAAAGAAGTTGAAATTGTTTGGCCAGCAGGTGACGTTGTGGTTAGGGGCACTGATTCCTGCATGGCTGATCACGGTTCAAGTTCCAGATCTGGCGGCTTGCTTTCTCTCCCTCTGTGTCTCACTCTGGGTCAAGTTAAAAATATAATAATAAATAAAATAAAGGAAGTAATTCTTAAAAAGAATTTCTTGAGCACTGATTTGATGCCACAAAAGTAAAAAATTATATCCTCCTCTTCACATAACAGGTAGCAGCAGAAAACACTGTAATACAAAAATACTGTAGACTATGTACAAAGTGTGTATGAAACAAAATTTCGTATTAAACTTGGGTCACATCCCCAACCTATCTCATTATACACATGATAAAATTCTTAAACCAGAAGAAATCTGGAATACTTCAGGAACCAAGCATTTCAAATAAGGCACGTTCAAGCTGTAATACCATGACCTAGTAAAGAAAAGCCACAGGAAGGTTGGCAAATAGTTTCTGGGTATATATATGCCATGCATAGAAATTTAATTGCCTGTATAACAGTATCATAATTTTTTAATCTTTAAAATATGGTTTTAAGTCCTCTAGCAGACCATAGGATGGACTCAGACTAACTTTTTACAAATATGCTAATCTTAGCCCAGTCTGTTGGCAAAGTCAATAGCAAGCTGAACTGCAGTGCTGAAGTCACATGGCTGACAGTAGGTCCAGTCCTAAGTGGGCCTGAAAGCACACTGGGCACATGCAAAGCCCAGATCCTGTACAAAAGTTTGGTATTTACAAACTAAAGTCAGTACAGGACTTGAGTTCTCTGAAGAAGTATGAGTGTCATGCAAAATTATAGAGCTCCTACACATGCAGATGGCCAGGGCTCCTACAGTTTTGGGGATGGCTATTGTGTCTTCTTGGGTTGGTAGGCTGCTGACTTTCCAGGGCAGTGATTTTTACTATTAATACTTTATAATCATAGATATTTTTTAAAAAAATGTATCTGTAAGAAGTTATAAAAACTCTCCCTAGAGAGTTTTATATATTCATAACTTTGGAGTTCACTGATCCTAGTGTAAGAGTTCATATTTCAGGTCTTATCTCAACAACTAGAATGTAAACCCCTAAATGGCAAGAGCCATTTTTCATATATGTACTTCTTTGCATCTCTCTATTATGAAGTATTTGACATATAGTAGTTTTTTTCAGAATCTCTGCTGTCTATCTGCATTAATGAAGAATGTTTTCAAAGAATCTATGTATTTAGTTAAAAGATCTTAAAATAACCCTCTTTAAAGAAACAGAATTACATTACATGGAAAGAAAAGAGCTAAGCTAGGATAACATTAACATTAGTGACATTTAATTATCAGTTATTCTTGTATTTTTATAATGCTTTAAAAAAACAGAGTTACCCTCTCAAACAAGTCAGCTGGTTAAATTTTTTAGCAAATCTTTTATTCATAGATAATGTAAAACTACAGCCATCTCGTCCTACATGAATCTTATCTTATATTTGACTACATTATGGTATTTTATTATGTATACCTACATATAACAGTAACCCTTGATAATCTTCCACAATGAGTCTTGAGTAAATGAGAATTTTATTTTTAATTTTAAAAGTGTTTTACATGACTTTAATAGGTATGTAGGATGGTAGGACCAGCCTCACAGCCTAGAGGTGGAAGATACTGGATCCCACATGGCTACCCATGGTGAGAATCCTGGCCTTGATAGTTTGAGAAACATGCCAGGCAGGTGTGTGTATGTAATCCAAATCCCAACGGGATGGAGAAATGCAGGAGAAGGGATTTTGACATGACCACATCCAACAGGTGCTCTCCTCTCTCTATGAAGAGCACATGGTTCCCTCTGGCAATTAAAATAAATAAATAAATAACCATGAGCCATCCATTGAGGATCTAATTTTTTTTATTGTGAGTAGGAGATGGCGAGAATGAGACTAGCTTGCCCAAACAACTAGGAATACAACTTCAACCTTATAACCAGCTAAAAGCAGACAACTAGCATCATCCTTAATGGTCAAAGACTGAATGATTTCCCTATAGGATTGAGAACAAGACAAGAATGACTACTTGTACTCCTGTTCAATACTGTCTAGAAGTCCTACAGTCCTACTACAGAGTAATTCAGTAAGAGAAAGGAAGATAATTCAAACTGTAAAGGACAAAGTTTATTTTCCTGAGTGAGACGTATCTGTAACCTCTACCTTTCCTTTTAGAAGTCATTGTTGAGCTTTGTAATTGAGATTATGCTACTTCATAAAATAACTTGGAAGTATTTCTACCTCTCTGTCAAAAAAGTTTTAAGACTAGCACTATGTCTCTGGAAATGCTTGGCAGAATTCTTAGATGAAGTCATCCAGACCTAGAGTTTTGTTTTTGTTTGTTTGTTTGTTTTTAAATCAAAGGTACAGATCCTGTTTCTTCAACTGCTGGAATTTATTTCTTGTAAGTGGCAGTTTGGCTCAACTGTATTTTTCTGGAAACATGTTATTTCACAAAAATTTCAAATGTAAGCCATTCATAATACTTTGTTTTCCTTTTAATAGCTATATGCAGCAGTACTGCTCTTTCCTTTCGGGTGATGGCCATTCATTTTTTCTTTTTTTCCAAAAGATGCTTTTTCAAATTTTAATTTTTCTTAAGACAATGATTTACCCTGTAGATAAAACTTTATTTTGTTGCCAGAAAAGCCATGATGTATTTTTCTGTGCAAAAATGTACCATGACTTTTCCAATGACCTAAGAGGTGTTATCTTTCAAACTTAGCAATGGAGCCCTTTTGCTATCATTCATTTCAAAGTATTTTCTCCTTTTCATCGAGACATTTCTACCACCTTTTTGTTCCTGATTCCTACTTTAATTCCAATGCAGTCATTGAACATATTGTTTGATATCAATAATTTTCACCTAGGAGTTCTACCAAACATTTAAGAAGAAACAGTATTATTCTTCACAAAAACTTTCAATTTTTTGAAATCTATTGAGATTTGCTTCCTGATCTTTTTTTTTAACATTCAATATATACTTTTTGGAATTTTAATAGTATTCTCTGTGGGGTGGAAACATAGTCTACATTTTTTTTCATGTTTTCAAAAATGTCTACAATAAGCGCGTAGCTATTTTTTTAAAAGAGGTTTTTGCTATAGAGCGTGGGTGCTCACCAGAAAGACAGAGAGAGACAGAGATAGAAAGCAAGAAATCACCCCCCGGGAGGCATGGCCACACCACAATCCCTTCTCCATTCTTCTCTTGGGAATTTGGCCATGCATGCACACACGCCCGGCGAGAGTTTAAGCCACTGGGTCCAGGACTCGAACCACGGTTGACTACATGGAGTTCTGCAACACAGCTAACTGCTTGCTGGTCCTAGCGCATAACTATTTTAAAAAATATCTTTGTCTTCTAAATTATAAGAATTAATTGATTGAAACAGGAAATTTAGGAAACAAAAGTAGAAAAGGAAAAACCATACCTGTAACCCAGTAAAGAATTGTTTTCATAGGTTGAAAAAATATCTATCAGTCACATTACTTAAATTAACATTCTCTCAGAAAAGAGAACATTAACAGGTATACTGAGTTGGAATAGCCAAACGAACTGACATGGCTTCCAGTCTCATCTTTAGCAACTTAAGTCTTGGTTTTCAAAGATAATTGCTAAGTCTCCACTTAAAAAGGTAGAATTCAGATGTTGAGGCATAATAATTCAGTTACACTTTTAGTCCTGCTTCCCTTTCTAGGAATAACTAATTTTGGGGTTTTGTTTGTTTTAATAAGACAGACAGCATGGAAGGGATGGCCTGGGCTGAGAGGAGGAGGGGGAGGGAGGGAAGGTTGAAGGTAGGGGGAAAGGGGTACCCTTGACAGGGAATCACCGCTACAATTCTCTGGCTCTGCCTCTGCCCCTGCCCAGCCTCCCAGCTAGCCAGAATAATAGGCACATGTCCCTGCCCTCCAGCCTGTTCGGTTTGGTCTCGAGTCTGAACTGGGCCTCCCATGTAGCACCAGCCTCTCTTGCAACACTGCAGCTGGGCTTGGCAGTAACTATTTTTGCTATTTAAGTATTAAAGTAATTATAAGTAATATGCATTACTAACATTCAAGCTCACTGACAACACTTTTTAAAAAAGGAAAATTTTAAATGAAGGCTTACAGTTGTGGTAAGTTTGGTCTAACAAATGGATCATTTTCTGCTCCATTGACTGCTTTATTTTTCCTTTGTTTGGGTTCAGAATTGGTAGAGGGTGCCTGAGAATTATTAGCTGTTGGAGGTTTGCGTTTGGCTAGAAGTTTCCTTTGCCTTTCAATATCTTCCCTTTGCTGATTCACCCACTCTTGCTGCCTGTGCAAAAATAAACAAAACCGTATTAACCTTCTAGTACTTGTCACAGTTAAAGAATGAAAATAATAAATTAAAAAGACATGAAAAAATCATTGTAGGACCACTCTTGTGAACCAACAAATATATCCACCCTTCAGGTCTTATCTGAAACTACCATGTATAAGTGAGATGTTAATTAAACCCTTGGACAAAGTTGTACTGCCAAATATAATCTCATGGTACCATGCATTTCCCACCTCCTCCTTTCTAACAAATATCATTCCTATGAATTCTTCAGCAGAATGTGACTGATTAGACTGCATCACTTCATTAAGCACAGAGAACATATTTATTCCATCTCTTAATGTGTCCCTAATACTCAGCATAGTAATCGATACATACCAGGTGCTCAATTAATAGTTGAAAAAATATAAATAACAGCTAAGTGTGGGGTAGATTTCGTACATGCATCTCATCACTTGGCATCCAAAGACAAGTTTACAACAGGCAAATATGAATTTCATGTGAAAAGTGTCATATTATACAATACATGTGCCTCTGTCAAAAAGAAATATTGAGGGTACCAGCAATTAGCGTAATGGCTATGTCACTGGATTCCCACATAGTCGACCACGGTTCGCGTCCTGGACCCGGTGGCTTGGAACTCACACCGGGCGCGTGTGCGTACGTGCCCAAGATCCCGAGGAGAATGGAGGAGAAGGGATTGCGGCGTGACCATCCCCCCGGGGGGTGATTTCTCGCTTTCTGTCTCTATGTCTCTCTCTGTCTGTCTGGCGAGCACACGTACCCTATAGCGAAAACCTCTCCAAAAAAAAAAATATATATTGAAAATGCATAGCTGATATTTTGGAATAAAACAAAAACTGACCTTAATAAAAGAAATTTACGGAAAAAAAGAATTTAGGGAGAAAAAGGAATTTTGAAAATTTAAGGAAAAGAAACAAGGAAATAGCAAAAAAAAAATTGAAACAGCTTTGAAAAATGGACAAATAATAAAAGTAAAATTATTAATGTTTCTCGTTCAATAATTTAAAACAACTTTACAAACTGTCCACTAATTCTAAACACTTACAGATATCATGTTTATTATAAAAATATAGGTTTTGAGTTCAGCAATTTCCTTAGGGTATCATGTAGGAAATGGTAAAGCTTTTAAAGTCATCCCATCATATAATACCTTCAGCATGTCTGAATAGTAATCATGGACCCTTTTAGTTTATCTCGCCATGCCAAAGACAAAACAAAACATTTACATTCCATGATTCTAGTATTTTGATTTTGAGCAAATTAAAGGTTCTATTTTCCCTTTCCCCCCATTATTTTAACCAGAACTATAGAGTTCCTAATCCACTGATGTAGAATGGGCCTTTTCCCTGTGGATCCAGCAAGAGATAGCAGAATATAATGAGAGTGAATGGATCAAGAAGATTCTAGTTATTTAGATAAGCAAATAAGAGTAAAGAAAAAAAAATCTCAGTAATAGCGAATCAAGAACAAGGCTTCAGTTTTCATTTAGAAATAGAAATAATTTCAGTTATTAAAAAGAGTTAAAACTATTTTGGAGTGTAATCAATATGCTATAAATACAATGAAAGGCAAGAATTCTAATGATTAAAATTCTAATGGTAAGTCAAGAATTACTTCACTTTCCCTCTCTCTCTCTCTGTCTCTGTCTCTCTCTGCCAGGTACACACACCCTATAGCAAAGATTAGGGAAAAAAAAAGATAAGCAAATAATAGCTTGACAGCTGAATGGAGAAACTGAAATTAACGGCAGACTTCATGCACACTGGTTATGTAACCCTCTCTTTTATTACAGGACAATTGCAGGTCTGGGTTTAGCAGCAGAGATTCTTACAGAACACTAAAAAATATGGTTTCTATCTATAATCTACTACTTGCTCTCCACTTTCACATTTTTTATATCTCAGTTCAAGCTTTAATCGTTCATTTGCATCCCTCTCCATTGTAACTGGCAACAATATATACTCTGTCCAAAATTATTTCCATATTAGCATCAGTTATTGTTTTACAATTTAATTCTGATCACACACACTGCATATAAACCTTTAACAGCTTCCATTAGCCAAAGCACTAAAAGCCCAATTCCCTAGCACTGCAAGGACACTGCCCTTTGCTGTGATTTACCTCAGACCTAAGCACAGCTGTGCCGAGCAGAAGCGGAGTAAATGAGTAAATGGGCTGAGAGAGAGGTTATTTTGTGGCAAATCGTGGGAAAAGGCAGTAGTGATGTGATACCATGTGAAATAAAGGCTTTCCCTTCTTTTTCCATACTGGATTGACTCTGGGAGAGCTGAGGTAGACACTGCCACTACTGTTGCCTCTCAGATTTTTACAAGTTTTTAAGAAAAAAAAAAAGGGGGGGAGTGGCATAGGTCCTATCTCCTCACCACATCAACAGTCAACCTATCCTATCCTTACCTACTCACCAGAACTCAAAAAACAATACAGAAACAATGATTTCAATGTTTCAAAGTTTACCTCAGAAATGCTAAAGCTGCATGATTAGTTCAACTGATTTGTGAGTTACTGTTATCTACTGCAAAAAACAAAAGTCCAGGGACCAGTGGATGGTTTAATGGTTATGTTGCTGGACTCCCATGTAGTCAACCGCAGTTTAAGTCCCAGATCCAGCAGCTTAAAACTCATGCCAGGCACATGTGCACGTATGCCCCAAATTCCAAGAGGTAAATGGAAAGAGAAGGGATTGTGGCATGGCCATCTCCACTGGGGGGGTATTTCTCACTTCGTTTTTCTCTTTCTCTGTATCTCCAGCAAGCACACACACCTTAGAAACAGACAGTAGTCAAGGGACACACTTGGGGAATGGGAAAAAAAAACTACATAGAAAATCCCAAGAGATAGACACACACACACATACACACAGGTCTTCCAGTGAAAATTAAATTTTCAATAGTTCTCTCAAAGTATCACCTATGAAACTAGGATAGCCTATATTCTAAAAAGTCAGATATAGGGTAATATATTACATTCTATAGATGAATGTTAATTAAACTAGTCTGCTAAAACTAAAATTATAATACCTCTGTTTCATAGTCCCTTCATATGTGCTAACTCCTGATTTCAAGATTTAAATAGTAAGGAGGAGATAGATGCAGAATATAATTCCATTCCTAATTTATCTTTTAAAGTATTAAAAACTCAAATGAATACTAAATTTTTCAAAACGTAAGAATGACTAACTTCACAAGATTCTGAAATGCAAAACCATCTGTCCATTGTTCAGTAAATGAAGCGCCATGTCTAACTGTTGTAAAGTGCCCAAGGCGTAATCTATCCTGCATACTCTTCTCTCTACTTGACAGTTTTTCTTGTGTACTCTGAAAAAAAAACAAACAAAAGAAATCATTACTCAATTCATTACATTTTAAAAGCATACAAGGCAAAAGGAGTTAGTGAAGGTAAAAATTTACTGAACTTTGAATTTACCTTTTCAATAAGAAGTTTCTTACTCATTGATATACATTTATTTAATCGTTCTTTATATTTTTCAAGTAATTTTTGCTGTTCATCTATTTGCCGTCTGAGATCACAGTTAGCCTACAACATAAGGAGAAAATGCAAATGGTTTAGAATTTGTCTTTATGAAAAGTTTAGAAATATTTAAATATTCTGAATAGATTAGAGTGAGAGGATTAATAAGAGTAAATATTTGCTAATGATACTAAAAAACGTCCCCCAAACAAAAAAAGGTCTGTATAATGAGCTAATACTGTTGAATGCTACTTAATTATTTGTGGAAAGGACACAGAATGTGCATCCATACTCCATACATTCAAAGACACACTTTGGCTAAGTAAGTTATCTGCACCTAAGTTCAGTTTCCTTACTTTGAAATAAGGGCACACTATCTACCTCACTTAATTAAAAATAACTAAAATATGGTCTATGAAATGCTTAACACTTAAAATAGTAGAGTGGCAAGAGAGTAACTTGGGGGGCTTCTTAGAAGACAGATGGCAGGGCCACCAGGAGATACAGTGGGTAAGGCACTGGACTTTCACTAGTCTGATCATGGTTTGAGTTCCAGACCTGGTGGTTTAAAAATCACACCAGGCATGTGTGTGTTGTGTGCCCAAAAGGAGGAGAATGGAGAAGGGACTGCAGACTGGTAACCCCCTCAGGGGGATGATTTCTCACTTTCCCTTCACCTCTTTCTGGCCAGCATACACTTACTATGGCAAAAGCCTTAAAAGCCAGATGGCTAGGACCCACCTCCTGAGTATCTGAATTTGTAGTTCTGGGGAAGCGCCTGAAATTTTCCATTTCTAACAAGTTCCCCCATAATACTGATGCTTCTAGTCACCAGTACTTGTGCCCTTTCCATCTAGTGATTCTAACGAGCAGCAAAGGGTTAAGAACTACAGCTTTGTATTTTATACATTGTAAGTATACAATAAGATGCATTGCAAATAAAAGTTTCCATGAGGGCTGCTGGTGATGTAGCAATAACTCAATGTACTGTAATGCTGAACCCATATAGCAAGGTCCTGGGTTTGCATCCTAAGGCCTCCCTGTACACAGCATGGAGATACACGCCTATGACCCACACTGGTCAAGGATGCAGGTGCATCAGTGTGAGGCTCTGTTGGGATGTCTATCTGTCTCTCTCATGGAAGAATAAACTTTAAAAAAAGTATTCATCAAAAATCTCACAGGCGGGACCAGCAGACAGCATAATGGTTGTGTGCTGGACTCCCACATAGTTGACAGCAATTTGAGTCCTGGACCTGGCAGCTTAAAACTCATGCCAGGTGCATATGCGTGCATGTCCAAGATTCCAAGAAGAGAATGGAGGAGAAGGGACTGCAGCATAGCTATCCCCCGGCGATGATTTCTCGCTTTCTGTCTCTCTGGCAAGAATACATGCCCTACAGCAACAACAACAACAAAAAAAAAAAAAAAACCCCTCCCCCAAAAAAAAAAAAAAAAAAAAAAACCTTACAGGAATACAGGATGCATTTATGTCCTGTGATACCTATGGTATCACAATTTAGTGATGCATATAACAAAGTAAATTAACTTTAAAATTAACTTGAAATGGATATTTTAAGATAGCCAATCATATAAAAACACTTTATAAACTTCCTTCTATTTCACCAGCTATTTCTCAATCCACACTTTAAGAGTTAATAAAATGTTTTAATTTTAAAGGTGGTATTTTGCATCAGATGCTACCCTACCAGATAAAATTTGTTTGTTTCCAACTACAGAATTTTTAATTTTTTTAAATGTTTTTGCCATAGGGCACATGCACTAACTGAAGAGACAGAGAGAGTGAAAGTGAGAAATCTCCTGCCAGGGGAATGATCACGCCACATTCTCTTCTCCATTCTCCTCCTGGGATTTTGGTCACACACGCACATGTGCCCAGCATGATTTTTAAATTGTCAGGTCTATGACTTAGACTGTGGTCAGCCATGTGGGAGTCCAGCACCTTAATCACCATGTCACCTGTTGGCCCAGAGCTACAGATTTTTCAAAGTTTATTTCTTCCATGAGAAAGAGACACGCACACACGCACACACACAGTGGGAGAAGGAAGCACTCCTAACATGGTCTTGATGCCACGATCCACGCTCAGCCAACCTAAATCGTAGACATGTGATTAGAATACACGGGGAGGACCCAGCTTATAAACCAGGCACTTCCTACATGTGTGTCCTTTTGTGTTACTGCCACATCACAGTCTGGGCCCCAGTTATAGTCATTTTTACAAAACGAAACCAGTCAGATATAAAAAATAATTGGAAAAAAACTGGTCTGTTGGGACCAGCAGTTAGCGTAATGGCTATGCCACTGAACTCTCATGTAGCTGACTACAGTTCGAGTCCCGGACCCAGTGGCTTAAAACTCATGCTGGGCACGCAGGCGTGCATGCCCAAGATCCCGAGAGGAGAATGGAGGAGAAGGGATTGCGGCGTGACCATCCCTCCTGGGGGTTGATTTCTTACTTTCTCTCTCTGTCTCTGTTTGTCTGGCGAGTGCACGCGCCCTATAGCAAAAGCCTCCCCCCCCCCAAAAAAAAACTGGTATGTCTTTACTGAACGTGTATAGACTTTATCATTATTCCCTAAACAATATGGTATAACAACTATTTATACAGCATTTATATTGTATTGGGTACTGGAACTCATCAAGTGACAATGTAAAGTATAGAGGAAGACGTGCATAGGTTACAGGCAAATACTGTTATTTTCCATAATAGGTTTGAGCATCCTTGGATTTTGGACTCCACAGGGGATCCTGGAAACAAGTCCCCAAGGACACTGAGGAATGCCTACATTATCTCAATAATTCCACTGTTGCCAAACATTTCATACTCAATTTTTCCCCCTCTATATTACTTACCCTGAGCAAATCATCTATCCGACCTTCCTTCTTTTCCAGGTCTTGGTTTTTATTACTTTCTAATGCTGCTAATTTTAGCATTGTGAGATCAGTCTAAATGAAAGAAAGTTATTTTATTATCTCCATCATATATTGCTGCATGCAAACAAAGAGTGACTTTAGAAAGTAAAAAAGAGTATGTGTGTGTTTATGTGTAAACAGTATCCAAAAAGACTTAGTAATGTCTTAAGTTATAGTAACTTCAGAAGTATAAATGCTATAAACTTACAAAGAAACATTTAAAATGTGAACTATTTAGAATTTGATGTCTTCATTACAATTCAATCTAGCCAGCTTTTTGCTATATATCACTCTAGCTGACTTTTAACCTTTGCAAAAACTTTTTAAAAAAGTTTTGGTCTTTTAGGGTCAGTCCCATGGCCTGATGGTTAAGGAAGCTAGATCCCACACGGCTCACCATGTGGTGAGAGTCCTGGTCTTGTGGGCATGAAAAACACAGTGGGTACATGTGTATGTGTGTCCTAAATTCCAACAAGATGGAGAAATGGAGAAGGATTGGGGCATTATCATGCCCCTTTAGGGAGAAAGTTTTCTTCACTTCCCATCCATCTCTCTCTGGCGAGTACACACACTCTTCGCTGGAATTTTTTTTTTTTTTTTAAGTAAATCTTTTTATTGTAGGCTGGCCTCATAGTGCACTGGTTAAGTATTGTGCATTGGGAACTGCATCCCACATGGCTGACAGTGGTTTCAATTTTGGTTTCAGCTTAAAAAAGACTGGGCAGGTGTGTACACATGCCCCAGATCCTGCTGGGATGAAGAAATGAGAAAAATTTGAATGCTGTGTGACCAATCTCCACTGGAGGGTATTTGCTCACTTTCTCTGGTGAGCACACATGCCCTAAAGCAATAAAAAAAAGTTATTTTTATCGGTAAGTAAAAATTGTATATAATATTTATGGTGTATAATATTTTGATGTGTGCATTGTGGAATGGTTAAACCAAGCTATGTAACACACACGTATCATTTTTTGGTGGTGAGAACATTTACAATTTATCCTCTTAGCAATTTTTATATATCTAATATAGTCACTGAATTTATTATTCTTCCTGTCTAACTGAAATGATGTGTCCTCTGACTAACATTTCATATAGTAAACCCTTTCGTGAGCTGTTCAGTAACTGAAAGAATAGTACTTGTAATCCTAATCTCAGGATTATCTAAAGAAATAGGTTCTGATATGTGTACAACGGTGTGAACATAATCTCACAAATGCAAGTCTGGTGGAAATAAACTGGGGAGCTGGGATGGACCAGCAACAGACCTACTTCCCAAACTCCTGTCTGAGAAAACATTGTCCAGAAACTGCTGCATGTAAAAAACTAAAATGGGGGAAGAGCAGATAGCATAATGTTTATGCCACTGAACTCCCACGTAGTTGTCCCCAGTCGAGTCTCACACCTGGCAACTTAAATGCTGGTGTGCGTGCGTGCGTGCGTGCGTGCCCAAAATCCTGAGGAGAATGGAGGAGAAGGGATTGCGGCATGGCCTTTCCCCGGGGTGGGTGATTTCTCACTTTCTATTTCTGTCTCTCCCACGAGTGTATGCATCCTATAGCAAAAATATCTACATATTTATCACTGCTTGGGTTGTCCCCTAAAGTTTCATATTTTAGAATCTGGTGCTGGAAGGTGGAAGTCAAGTGGGTAGTAACTGTTTCATGGTGACTGCTCATGGAGACAACATTCTCGTGAACAGATTAATGGTGTCTTGTGAGATCCAGGGAATTCTAGCCCTTGTGATAAGGGGTTAGTTGAATCTTGGAAAGCTGGTTACTATTGAAGAGCTACCCATGGCTCGCCCTCTCTCTGCATATACCCAACAATCTCTGTATTTCTGTTGGCCATGCTATAGGCTTGTGCCTTTGAACTTTCCAGCCACCAGAATTGTTAAGTTTTAAAAATAAACCTCTATTTTCTTCAGTTCACCCAGTTTCAGGTATTTCTGCTAGCAACACAAAAATGGACTAAGACAACCACTGTGTAACAAAGAGCAAGCTGAGAGCAAATTGTTTCCATTTCTCACTCCTTCCCTACAAATTCTAGTTTTATTTGTATAGTAAACTCAGTGTTCTTGACGTATAATTTTGCTTCATTACTACATCTAAAACAAACAGTAGACATCTTACTTGTTAGTACAAAGCTGGACACCGGCTTCTTAAATATCATAGAAAAAAAAATGTAATTTAGTATTTACCTGAGTAATTTTAAAGGATAACTGCTTTGGTTGTATAATAGGGTGGTCCCCAAAAGCTAATGCAGTAGGCGAAGGGCTATTCGGTCGAACCTAAAAAAATGTATTAGAAAGATCACCTAAGCAAGGAAAAAATGTTCTACTCAGCAACAACTACTTAACATTTCTGAAGAAGATTTTTTTAAAACAGAATAATATTTGAATTGCAACATAACTGACTTGCTTCAACTTTTAATCATTTATTCAACAAGCATTCATTGAGTACTTCTCACAAGAGGCCTATGGAAAGATAGAATACATTTCCTGACCTTCAACAGCTTACATTCTAGTACCTTAAAAGAAATCTTAATGCTTTCAGACTGTTTGAACAAACTATGGCCAAATAAATTATTCTGAAACAAAAATGTTAAAAACATATGATGGTTCAAAAAGTGAAAGTAAAAAGATCTTAGTATAGAACTTATTACTATGGACAAGAATGTATGTCCATATGTAGTTTAATATCAATACACTGATAAAAATTTCATAGTTTATCTGGCCACTAGTTTAAAAATACATTCATTAAAAGTGGCAGACAACAATATCTGATAATGTCACAATGACTCTAGTTAAAGATAAGGCTGAGTCTTACGTCTTGATTTGTACATGGCAACGTGATGGATGTACCGCAAAGGACGGAAGGAGTAGGACACAACAAAGTATGTTTAGGACAAGGACGAGAAGAGAGACATGAAATAAAGTGAGTAAAGAGGTGAAAGCTTTTATCGTTAAAATTACTGAAAACTAGTGTGGTTTTTGTTAGAAAAAGGACTTTCACATGCTGCAAGTAAATAAAAAATAAAATTCAGTGTGCAAAACAACGAATAAAAATACTATATCGGGTCAGTCAGTGACACAGTGCTTAGGCAGCTGGGTTCCACATGGCTGACTGTATGGTTTGAATCCCAAACCTGATGGGTTGAAAGCACACCAAGTGTGTGTACACATGTGACTAAAATCCCAAGAGGAGAATGGAAGAGAATGGTCATCCCCTTGAGAAGTGATTTCTTTCTCATCTTCTCTCCCTGCCTCTCTCCAGAAGAAGCATGTGCCCTATAGCAAGTTAAAAACAAAACAAAACTCTATCTTAGAATGTTAACGAACCAAAAAATTGCAAAATAATTTTTAGGTTCAATATCCTTCTCCAAAGCTGAGTTAAACAGCCTGCTTTTTCCTTAAGATTTCCCAGAAAGGAATTATGCTAGCCTTTTAGTGGTTAAGAAATTTAATTGATAAGAAAATTAAAAATTAGAAATCAAAAACTGAATAGGGACTAATACAGAAGTATTCATTCACTTTAGACCCTCTGGCTCAAAAGCATTTTTTACAGAAACAATACTTCTTAGATAGAATTAATTCAGGAAATCTTTAATTCAAGAAACTTTCTCTCTCTCTCTCTTTAAAGTTTTTGCTACAGGGTGGTACATGTTTGCTGGAGAGAGACAGAGAGTGAGTCACAGAGAGGGAAAGTGAGAAATCTCCCCACAATCGGGGAGAGAGAATACCACAATCCATTCTCCTCCAGTGATTTTGGGCAGACATACACATGCACTTGGCACGATTTTCAAGCTGCCAGTCTGGGACTTGGCATGGAGTCAGCTCTGTGGGGTCTAGCTGCCTTAACTTTAAAGTTAAAGTCCTCAAGAAGTTTACTTTCAGACAGATACAACAGTTTTAATAGCATCAGATCACTAAAAAGGATTCAAAACAACTCACAAAAAATAATTTTTTAAAAAGATAAATACTCATATGAAAGTTCTCACAACAACAAATTATAAAGGTTATTTAATGTACAGAACCTCCTAGACATAAACTATGCATTAAAAAACTTGAAAGAAACTTACTGATGAGGAAGGAGTGGAATGTGAATGTGAATTCTGAGGAGAACGGATTGCAGGAGGTATGCCTCATTCATTCACTTTAGACCCTCTGGCTCAAAAGCATTTTTTACAGAAACAATACTTCTTAGATAGAATTAATTCAGGAAATCTTTAATTCAAGAAACTTTCTCTCTCTCTCTCTTTAAAGTTTTTGCTACAGGGTGGTACATGTTTGCTGGAGAGAGACAGAGAGTGAGTCACAGAGAGGGAAAGTGAGAAATCTCCCCACAATCGGGGAGAGAGAATACCACAATCCATTCTCCTCCAGTGATTTTGGGCAGACATACACATGCACTTGGCACGATTTTCAAGCTGCCAGTCTGGGACTTGGCATGGAGTCAGCTCTGTGGGGTCTAGCTGCCTTAACTTTAAAGTTAAAGTCCTCAAGAAGTTTACTTTCAGACAGATACAACAGTTTTAATAGCATCAGATCACTAAAAAGGATTCAAAACAACTCACAAAAAATAATTTTTTAAAAAGATAAATACTCATATGAAAGTTCTCACAACAACAAATTATAAAGGTTATTTAATGTACAGAACCTCCTAGACATAAACTATGCATTAAAAAACTTGAAAGAAACTTACTGATGAGGAAGGAGTGGAATGTGAATGTGAATTCTGAGGAGAACGGATTGCAGGAGGTATGCCTCTTACTGGACTAGAGCCATTTCCACCTTGGTACTGAGAAAGGGAAAAGGAAATATCGTTCTTTATTAAAGCAGGCTCACATAGTTTTTAGACATGGTGTTAAGAATGAATGTAATGTATCTCACATTAAATTAAATCAAGTAGTCATTTAAACGATCCAGAAAAAGTGAAATGAAGGTCAGCTAAGTCTTAAACACTAATGAGAGATTACTGATCACAGGTACCTGATACGACTATGTCTTACAGGTCCTCAGGGTCTACATTTTAACACAACTTGTTATCGTGGCCAGCTCAAAGATGAATTGCCCGAAAGCGATGAATATGTTTTGTTTTTACCCCAAATCATAGCACAGTTCCCCTATGTTTCTTGAACCAAGATGGTCCCTAATCCCAAGAAACTTAAAAATATTTACATAGAGATGTTAGTGAATGTAATCAACAATCTTCAAACAGAATCACTATTTTAAAAATCAGTTAAATATTCAAATACTCATGGCACTAGATAAAGGAAGTATACAGAACAAATCTCTTCTATCCTACAGTGGGAAATCGTTAAAAAGTAATTCCCATCTAACAGAGTGCATTACTAAGCTGCATATAAAGAAAAGCCAACTCATCTGTTGCACAGCTACCTTTTCCCTGTCTCATGTTGCGTACCAAGGACAGAAGAAGAAAACAATCTACCACTACTGGCTTCCTCTAGGGGTGCAGCTTATTTTCCATTCCATCATTTTTTAATTACTCACTCAACTTTGACATGAACAACAGAGACGGAGACTTCGTGTGTTCATTAAGCAACTTCTGGCAATCTAGGAATTTTTATCTCATTTGTTTTATTACACATGGTGCCCAGCATAAAACACAGCACTTAGTAGGAATGTAAGAGACCTTTGCTTGTTGAATTTACCCTAGCTTTAGCAAGGACTCTTACTGATATTAACATCTTAGTGATAGTAATAGAGTGCAGAACTCAGCCCAAGAGATGAAGTATTTCTTGACCACCAGCAGCTTTCCCTTAGATTCTGCATGTCCAAGAGAGAAAGCAATGGAGGTTTTTAATTCAGCACTTCCCTAATCAACAATTCTGCTCTCGCTTTTAAGTAAAAAAAAAAATTTTTGAGAGGTTTGTTCGCTATAGGGCGCGTGTGCTCACCAGACAGACAGAGAGAGACATAGAGACAGAAAGCGAGAAATCACCCCCCAGGGGGAATGGTCACGCCGCAATCCCTTCTCCTTCATTCTCTTCTCGGGATCTTGGGCACGCACGCACACAGGCCCGGCGTGAGTTTTAAGCCACCAGGTCCAGGATGTGAACCGTGGTTGACTATGTGGGAGTCCAGTGACATAGCCATTACGCTAACTGCTGGTTCCCAGTAAATATTTTTCAAATAGGCAAATTACGTTTGTTGTTTTTATAACTATATTAATGCTTCTAATTGGTAAAATTGGTAACTAAAGTGCTTCCATGGAGAAGCAAAAAAGCATTCCATATGGGCAAGAATCTAAATCTACCACTCTTTTCTCACACCCTCTGATAATGATTTAATCCCCGTGCACAGGGCTCAAATGCTGCTGTGGTATGATAAATGGTAAATTGATATTCGAATTCTACTAGAGAGCTGGCAGGACCTTAATTCTTAGTCTTTCCTTTCTACTTAAGAATTTAAAGGCTACTGCACATCTCTGGTCCACTAATACCTACTTTCATGGGCTGTTATAAGGCAATACATGAGAAAGTAAACTTTGAAAATTATAATGTACCATACCAATGTAAATTTTAGTATTTTTGAGAAAAAAGGATATCACATAGTGTTAAAGGTCGGCTCTAATTAAGCAGATAATCAAGTCAAACTTGTCCTACAAAGAAATTATTTAACTCATAGCTGAATTATTTGAATTAGGAGTTAGAGATAATCTTCAGTAAACTTACTTCAAAATAGTCACTAATTTTGTGGCCACGCCCTCCAATACTTTTTCCTAAAATACAAAAGTAAAAAAATTTATAGATTAAAGTTAATCAGGACTATCATACTGGAAACATAATTAGCCAAACCCAAATTCTCTAATGCACATAAAAATAGCCTATTTCATAAAAAGCATAGGGTATTTTAGTACAGAAGTAGTAGGTATCAAAACAATATTAAGAGTCAGGAGATCTGACACCAATTTCAGAAATCCAAATATCAAATGATATTTCAGTAGAAACTCCATTTTTAAAAATCTTAATTTTCGAATTACTAGGTAAATGAAAGGTGTTACAGCATCTCTGTGTTAAAACTACATAATTAAAATGTAAAAATAAATAAATGAAAGAGGAAGAATAAATAAATAAATAAAACTACATAATTAACAATACTTAATGGCTACTAATTTGAGAGAAACAAGTTGACAAAAAGAAAACACAAGTTGCAAGTGCATGACACAAACGGATTTATATTTCTAAATTTTTGAAGTTTTGGTTAATACAAACTGTAATATATAAAATAATCTATCAAACAGACAGGCTTCAACGCAAATGATACTTATTTTTCATTTTTTAAAAATTATCTCCAAATTGGGAACCAGTAGTTAGCATAATGGCTATGTCGCTGGACTCTCACGTAGTCGACCGCGGTTCGCGACCCGGACCTGGTGGCTTAAAACTCACGCTGGGCGCGTGTGCGTGCATGCCCAAGATCCCGAGAGGAGAATGGAGGAGAAGGGATTGCAGCGTGACCATCTCCCCTGGGGGGGTGATTTCTCGCTTTCTGACTCTATGTCTCTGTCTGTCTGGCGAGCGCACGCGTCCTATGGCAAAAATCTCTCCAAAAAATAAATAAATAAAAATTATCTCCAAATTAATGAGATTATTAATAAATATTTAATAAACTAGATTTTAAATATTGTTATTACATTAATATCTTGACAGAGTGAACTAGGTGATTATAGATCACACTGTTCTTTAAATGTTTTGCTCTGAAGTTGAATCTTCATCAGTTGTATAAACACTGAAATAAGAACATGCTAAGAAATAATTGTGTTTAGAGATGCTTTTTTGGAAGAAGTCTTCCATCTCTGATTGGAAATTTATAGAACGCTGTACATGATTTCTTCAAATTACAATGGAAATATGAATAATAATCGAAGTCAAAAGCTTTTCATAACATAAACATACATTTATCAATTTAATTCTTACTAATAATCATGAATTCACTTTTCTTTGTATTCAACAAATATTTAAGTAGTTACCATGTGCCAGGTGTTACTGAGATGAACAAAGAATACACTTAAAAGCTCAATGACCTTAAATTCCTATTTGAAACAAGGCACGATAATTTAAAAATACATTTTTTTATTTAATTGAATTTATTTATTTATTTATTTATTTATTTATTGGAGAAGTTTTTGCCATAGAGCGCGTGCGCTCGCCAGACAGACAGAGAGAGAGACAGACAGAAAGAAAGCAGGAAATCACCCCCCTAGGGGGGATGGCCATGCCATAATCCCTTCTCCTCCATTCTCCTCTTGGGATCTTGGGCACGCATGCACACATGCCCGGCGTGAGTTTAAGCCACCAGGTCTGAGACTTGAACCGCGGTCGACTACTTGGGAGTCCAGCGACACAGCCATTACGCTAACTTCTGGTCCCTTGAATTTATTATTTTTAAAATTTGTCATAGGGCAAGTCACCAGACCCAGGACTCAAAATCATGGTTGGCCATGTGGGAGCCCAGCACCTTAACCACCACTCCACTGCTGGACCTAAGGTGGGACAATTTCTTAAAAACTGAGTAAGTACTCAGGTCTACAAATGCTACCTTGATTTTTTTTTTTTTAAAGAGAGATTTTTGCTATAGGGTGCATGCACTTGCTGGAAAGACAGAGAGACAGGGAAAAATCATCCCCCTGGGGGGATGGACATGTCTTAATCCCCTCTCCTCCACTGTCCTCTCAAGATCTTGGGTATGTACGCACATGTGCCCAGTATGAATTTCAAGACTCCAGGTCTAGGACTTGAACCATGGTCAGCCATATGGGAGTCTACTGACACAACCATTATGCCATCTGCTGGTCCCATACCTTGAAGTTTTTAAAAAAGATTTATCTAATTGTATTTGTTGTTATTATCATTTATTTATTTTGAGAGAGATTTTTGCTATAGAGCGTGTGCACTCGCTGGAGGGAGAGAGGCAGAGACAGCAAGAGAGAAATCACTCCCCAGAGGGATGGCCACACAGCAATCCCTTCTCTACTCTCCTCTCGGTATTCTGGGCATACATGCACACGTGCCTGGTAGGAGTTTCAAGCTGCCAGGTCTGGAACTTGAACTACAGTTGACTATGTGGGAGTCCAAAAATGTAACTGTTACGCCATTTATTGGTCTCATTACTATTTTTTTAATTTGCTACAGGGCACATGTGCTCATCAGAGAGAAAGAGAAAGAAAGTGAGAAAGCAAGCTTCCAGGTCCAAGACTCGAACCGTGGTCAGCCAGCGCCTCAACCACCATGCCCACATGCCAGCACCACTACCTTGAAATCCTGATCAACATTTTTGTACAGATTTATTTAGAGTCTACACCAAAGGAACTTCCCTTTTGTCTATAATGTCCCTGAAGATTCTGAAAAAGTTCTATTTTTTCTATCGAAGATATAAATGTTTTTGGTTGCCTATCTAGAGGCTATTTCCCCAGTTCTCTTCCCTTAACTTAACCCAATGTTGGTGCTGCTAATGCCCCTCCACACATACAGCATATGTAACTTCATGTAACTGTAAATCTTAGAGTTAGTTCCCCAACCCTCCCTTCTTATGAGAAAGCCAATTTTGTTCAGGTATCATCTCTTCTCCCTGTAGCCTATGGTTTTAAGAGAAACTTTAACCCATTTTCAATTTCAGAAATGGGCCTGACTTTTGTTAAGGGTAATAGTATCTCTGTTTAATATCATTGGTTTTGGAATGGACACATGACAGGATCTTGTCAACAGGATGACAGGGGAAGTTTACTCTAGATTTGAAAAAGCTACTTCAAAGGAAGAGGAAGAAGCACAGAATATCAGCTTATCTAAAGCAAGTACAGTTAAGGAAGTTGAAACAAGTAAATCCAATTTAGGTAACCATCCTAAAAATAGAGGAAAATGGAGTGATGGGATTTTACTGACAATAGACCACAGAGAAAGAAAAAAGAAAAAAAAACTCGGGTTCTTAACACTGGATAAACAAACCCAGAAGCCCCATTCTACTTGAGGCTTGCTTGTGAATTTTTTTCCCCTGTAACTGAAACCATCATAATTAATATATCTTGAGCCAGCAAGATAGTGTGGTGGTTAAGGCAGTTGGATGCCACATGGCCGATTGCATGCAGCTGGAGTCCTGGACCCAGTAGTTTGAAAAACACTCTAAACACGTGTGTACATGCCCAAAACCCCAAGAGAAGGAACGGCAATGTGGCCATCGTCCTTGATGGGTAATTTCTCACTTTTTTTGTCTCTCTCTCTTTGGTGAGCACACATGCTCTACAGCAAAATCAAACAAACAAAACTAAACAATTTCATAACAATAAAGCTCCCAGTCCACTATCCACAACTTGGGGTTACTATATTAAGACCCAAAATAGCCTAGTGGAAACTGAGATTAAAAAAAAGTATTAAACCCTAGAGAAAAGGCCCTAAAACCAACTGACCCCTTCCTTCAACAAAGACAGTTGATGCAAATATATTATTCAATTCCAGTGCCAGATGTAAAGCAGTAAGTCATGGGTTCACGCCTCTAGATCCTAGACTTAAAAGTTGGCTCCAACACATTTAGCATTATGTATAAAATAACCATTATACATATTAAGAGCCCAATTTATTGTTTTTAATTGTGAGAACTCAAGTTAAATGACAATACCATTTTACTGTCCAAGAGATTTTTATAATCTAATAAAAAGTTTTCAAGCTCTTATCATAAAAGGTAGATATGCAAGAAAAGAAGAACAGGTACAGAAAGAAAAAATTTTTTAAAGATTTATTTATTTAATTCCATTTGTATGATCATTATTATTACTATTTAATTTGACCAAAGAGAGAAAGGGAAAGTGAGAAAGCAAGCACAAGGTCCAGGACCCAAACTGCAGCTGGCCATGTGGGAGTCCAGCACCTTTAACCACCTGCTGGCCCCAAAGATGGTGTTTTAATTAGTCTCTCAATTAGTTTTACAGAGTTTATTTTTTAGGAGTAAATTTGGGAACAATTTTTTTTTCTAAAGAGATTTTTGCTTATAAGGTGCATGTATTTGCTAGAGAGACAGACAAAAAGTGAGAAATCACCATCCGGTAGGCTGGCCATTCTACAATCCCTTCTCCATTCTTATCTTGGGATCTAGGGCACACACACACACACACACACACACACACACACACACACACACACACACACACGCACGTGCCTGGCGTGAGTTTGAAGCCACCAGATCTAGGACTTTAACTGTGGTCAACTACATGGGAGTCCAGTGACGTAACCATTATGTCATTTGTTGGTCCCATCAGGGACTAGTTTTAAAGAAACATTTAAAATTTTGTTCAATACAAGAGGCCATTTCAATACCGTAATTTATATAAAGAGAGGAAAATTAAACGTGATGGGTAATGCTTTCCAAATTTGGACATTATACTTATCTCTCTAGAACTCAAATAAAAATTGAGGTAAATGTCAAAAACTCTAAAACTCATAGTACAAAAAGACTTCAATTTCATTTCTTTATGCAAAGTACCTTCCTAAATTTTTTAATTAATACAGAAATTATAATAGCTATAGAACTCAGAAAAACAGAATTAAATATATATATATATATATATGTATGTATACACATACACACAGACACACAAATTTTTAAAGGTTTTTGCCACAGGGTCCGTGTGCTTGCCAGAGAGGGACAGAGAGAGAAAGTGAGAAATCACGCCCAAGGGGGGATGGGCATGCTGCAATCTCTTCTCATCCTGGGATTTTGGGCACACATGCATATATACACCCAGCATGATTTTCAAGCCACCAGGTCCAGGACTTGAATTACGTATGGTAAGCACCATGGGAGTCTAGAACCTTAACCATCATGCCACCTGCTGGCCCCAGCATTACTTATATTTTAATCAGAATATTAATTGGCGAAAAATCAGAATAACTCATTGTAAATGCCTACTGGGCTCTGAAGGAAGGTGTGGTTCTACTTACCCTGGCTACTTTCATTCTGGTTTTCTGCTTTTCTCTTTCTTCCCCTGGATGACTCTGATTGTTTCTTCTCTGGTGTCTATGGAAAGTAAGTTAACAGAATTTTAAAGTAAAAGTTTTTATATGCAAAATTATCAGTTCATGTATAAAATCATTTTCTTTTCAAGGTCAAATACTGTTCAATAATAATGCTCAGGAGATGTATATGTATAGTTATTTATATACTATTTATTTAAAAGATGAAATGTGTGTAAAGTTTTAAAATTCCCAAGTAATGGAGATCATATATATATAAAACAGAAATTCACATTTACAGAGTTCAACTTTAGGTGGATAAGAATTCTGAGAGTAACCAGTCTTACAAGATACCTCCAAATTCTTACATGGATAAAGGGAAAAAAAAAAATCACGTTAGGTTTTTCCCACTATTCATACATATTTATTCTGTGAAAGTAAATTTGGATGAGAAGCAAGGGGCAGAACACAAACCCTGATATATGCAATTCCTACTGGAAAAGGATCCCTCACCCAAATGCCTGGCAGTGCAATCCAACAACAATTATAGCAAGTTATGCTATGGATATCAGGAGTCGGCGAACTACAGTCCATGGGCCAAATTTGTTTGGCCACTTGTTTTCATACAGTTCATAACCTCAACTTAGCTTTTCCAATTACTGAATTTTTTTAAAAAAGATTTTATAATGTGAGAATTGTAAGAAATTCAAATCTGTGTCCATAATAAAGTTTTATTGAAACATAGTCACTCTTTCATCTAAGTACTTTCTATAGCTATTTTTCCCTTTACAAGGGTAAAGATGAGTAGCTGTAATAGAGACAGTATTGTCCATAATGTCTAACATACTTGGCCTTTACTGAAAATATCTGTAGGCCCCTGCTCTAGATGGTGGCTCTGCTTACAGATTAAAGGAGTATTTCTTAAACAGAGATCATGTAGTTTTCACTAGGCTAACACAAAAAGCAACTTTTATGGAGTTTGACAAAGCTGTTGTGCTTAATCAAAAATTAAAACTAAGAGTAAAAGTACACAGCAATGGCACAGGTTCTTTGAATTCTATTACAGAAACGTGTGAAGTACCTCTCGTGCCAGAATAATTCCTGAGCTTAGCAGAAGAGCAACAGCTATTAGCATGAATGGATGAATGACATTAAACAACATAAAATAAATTTCCTAAGGCACTGTATCCCCAAACAAAGAAATTTAATCCACACTTTATGTCTCTGAGAAGTCCTATGATTAAATAGTATGAACGACAATATACAACGTAATTCCTATTGAGCATATATTGTTCCTATAAATACCACCTGGGTGTTTTAAGTTCTCTCACCTCCATTTGTCAACAAGATAATATATTCAGAAAGGCTGGGCTGAATATTACTAGACATTAAATTCTTTAAAAGACAGTCATTATATTTCCTCCCTGTCTTAACCTCTCACTCGGTATCTATATATATATAGGCTGAGTATTCTTTATTAGAAATGCTTGGACTAGAAATGCTTCGCATTTTGGAGTGCATATAATAAGATACCCCAGATACGGGATACATAATGCACTTGTGTTTTATATACACCTTTATACACACAGCCTAAAGGTCATAGAATTTTCCATTTGTGGCATCATACAGGCACTTAAAACATTTTAGATTTTAAAGCATTTCAGATTTTGCAATTTTAGATCAGGGATGCTCAACCTGTAGTTATTATTTAAGATACGAATGAACATTGCATAACTTATTCAAGGCAACACCAATAGCATAGCACAGCTAGGATTCAAATCAAATTCAGTTCTGTGTAATTCTAAAGCTCAACTACTGCTAATTTTTTTTCTCTATGTGATATGTTGTATGCTTAAGAACTAATTAAAGTAACTACACAAATTAGTTAAAAATTTTATTATTTGTATAAATAAAATTCTTATGTCTGACAAATTACCTATATGTTTTCATTTTACAAGCCAGATTATCTTAAAGAAAACCACATGAACTAACATTCAGGAGGTAGAAAGTATATCAGCAGTAAGTTTCACTGTCAAAATTTCTAACTCGGGAACCAGCAGTTAGTGTAACGGCTATGTCGCTGGACTCCCACGTAGTCGACTGCGGTTCGCGTTCCAGACCCAGTGGCTTAAAACTCACGCCGGGTGCGTGTGCGTGCGTGCCCAAGATCCCGAGAGAATGGAGGAGAAGGGATTGTGGCATGACCATCCCCCCTGGGGGGTGATTTCTCGCTTTCTGTCTCTATGTCTCTCTCTATCTGGCGAGCGCACGCACCCTATAGCAAAAACCTCTCCAAAAAAAGAAAAAAAAATTTCTAACTCAAACAATAACTGATCTCCCATTTTTCTAGGAATAAAATATCACTAAATTTAAAAAAATCTATGTAAATCTACCTTTAGAGGGGCCAGCAGATGGTATAGTGTTTACGGTGTTAGACACCCACAAGGATGACCATGGTTCAAGTCCCAGACCCAACAGTTTGAAACTCACGTCAGGCAGTGTGTGCACTTGTGACCAAAGACTCAAGAGGAGGATAGAAAAGAAGCGTTGCGGTATGGCCATCCACACTGGGAGGTGATTCCTCACTTTCTCTCTCTCTCTCTCTGGCAAGCACACTTGCTCTATAGCAAACATATCTCTCTCTCAAAAACAAAAACAAAACAACCCCCCCCCCAAAAAAAAAAACCCAAACCTTTAAAAAACTTTCCAGAGACCAGCAGGTGGCGTGGTGGTTAAGGTGCTGGACACTACCACATGGCCAACCACGGTTAAGAGTCCCACACCTGGTGGCTTGCTTTCCCACTTTCTCTCTCTCTCTCTGGTCAAGTTAAAAACAAATGAAGAATAAAATTAAATAAATAAAATAATTCTAAAAAAAAAACTTTCCAAATAATTTATTTATAACCATCCCAACTTTATGTAAAAGAATATAAAATGTGCTTTTCAGAAGAGTTTAATGTTATACTAATGTTTTTTAATTGCCAGAGGATACATATACTCACTAGAGGGAGAAAGCATCCTGCAGTTGGGTGTGGTCATGCCACAATCTCTTTTCTATTTCTCCGGATCTCAGGATGCATACAAATGTACCCAGTGTTTTTTTTAAACAGTCAGGGCCAGGATTCGAACCATGGTCAGACACATGGGATCTGGCTCCCTTAAACACAGTATAGGGCCAACTCATGTTATACTGATTTTTAAGCATAGCAGAATCCCATCTTAAAGTATGACTAGATACTTTTAAATAGACAAATAAATAAATAAATAAACATTTCAACTCTGAAACAGTTATATCGGAACCAGCATTTTCTGCCTAGAAAAAGCATATGTAAAGTTCTAAGAACACTGGTTGAGAAGGCTTTATTTCAAATGGGGATAAAGGAGGAGGGAGTTCAAATGGGTGAAACAAAGTCAGATTTCTTTAATACAGTGCTTCTTAAAACCATATAAATGCTAACATATACCAGCTGTATCCAAGAGAGAAGGTGGGATGGGAAAATGTGATGTATGTACAAAATCTTAAACTTACTGGGATACCAGTTACTGAGTACACACGTCAGGACATTTAAGGTTGTTTCTTTTGTTTTTGTTTTTTAATGGCATATGATTACTTAGTAAAAGCTTTTGTTCTTTTTTTTTTTTTTTTTTTTGAAAATTTTTTTTTTTTTTTTTTTTTTTTTTTTTTTTTTTTTTTTTTTTGAGAAGT